TTCAATATTGAACAAACTTAAACTTTTTAAAATTATGCAAAATGCAAAACGCTGTGTCTCTAATCAAACCGCTGTAACTTCAGAGGTGATGTTCATATGTTGATTAGTGGTTTTCTTTCGTTTTTGATGTACTGCAGAATATTTTTATAAAATCCAGGCCAGGAAAATCACCTCCATGTTTTTCTGTGTTTTATCTTCAGCTGCTTTGACACAAAGGCCTCTGCTGTGACGCTCACACCTTTATAAAGTCTGGAAAGTGTCAGCTTTCTTTTTATAGATACAAAAATATGTAAATGTGCTGATCTGAATTATAATATTTCTGACTGTCAAAATTTCCCAGATTCAAAGCGAATCGTGGATCGAATCGATTCAGGACCTTGTGAATCGGAATTGAATCGATTCTAGAAATCAGTGACGATACCCAGCCCTAGTGCCCAGTGTGTGTTCTTCTGACTTCGCCCACATTCATTCACATACTTTTATGTTTTTCTCTGTAAGTGCTTTTCCTCGAACATTCAAACTCTGATGGGAGTTGATGAGGTTGGAGTCAGTATTTTGCCCAAGGATATTTTGGCATGTAGATTGGACAGCCAAGGATCAAATCGCCAAACTTGACCTGCTCTGTCTCCTGAGCTACAGCAACAAACACAGTTTTGTTTTGTTTGTCTCCTTAATTATGAAGAATGAGTCATTTTATGGTCTGCTACATGCCTTTCTTATTTATTCTTAGCCTGCAGGAAGAACAACTGTATACCACCACTTTCTAGCTCTCATACCTGTATATCTGCTTCTTCTTCACATCTTAATCTAGACACAGATAGTGCCGCCTTGTGGTCTGTCTTTGAACTATATTAACTTTACAGCAACAACTTCTGATCATTATGAGTTTTCTTGTAAGGACAGTGAACGGTGTCTCCGGGGAAAAGAATTGTGTCTGCACCAAAACTGTAAGTGGTTTTTGTTTGCCCCCGCTCTCAATCTCAATGTTCGGATGAAATCACAGAGTGTTCCTGTAAACAAAGTCACTGAAAATTCTTCAGCCCTCCACTTTGGGGAAGGACTAAGATGGTATGATATGGTACAACTATGATATATAAATACAGGATATACATCTGTTTGCATATCCAGTCATACTTACAGAGGAGTATGATGGCACAGAGGAGGATGGCAACGAGGGCTCCTGTGCTGAGGCCAGGTGAGCTACTCAGAGCTTCGGGTTTACACAGCTCCATGTTGCCTTCATGGTCACAGGTACAAACCCTCACAGTAAGTGTGCCAGTGCTGCTCTGCATGGGGTAGTCATCATCGGTGATCACCACAGGAACCAAGTAGACGCTCTTGTGAAGGCGGCTATAGGTGGCTCGGCCAGTCAGGATGCCAGCAGTGTTGTCTAAGTTAGAGACGGTTCTGTTAGAAGATCAGCATGGCCTGCAGCGTGACACTGTGCTCTCACAATACAAGGTTGAAAAACACTGATACCAGGGTGCAAGGAGAAATGTGAGTGCAACAAGGCCTTACTAACAGGTTCTCCCTCACTGTTAAAACAAAGCATGGACAGGAATCTCTTTTACAACTTTGGCCAAAGGAGCTATAACGTAGGGACAGATGGACAGATAATCATAGTGCAAAAAGTTTGACAATTAAATAAATATCTCTGATGAACTGTTTTAAGATAACTCTTTATTGTTTTTAGAAAAGTGTTTAATACTTTTTTAAAATCTCTGACCACATGATGATATGACATTGTAGAAAAGCTGCAGAGCGGCGGGATTACTGCTGCCACAAGAAAATATGAAATGCAAATTGAACAACCCATCCGTTATCGCTCACACTCCTACCAGTGAATCTGACAGGTGCTGCCACTGGTTTAATGGGTTAAGTGGAACCTGCTTAACATCGACATCAAGAAGTCAACTGGTGGGGATGGGATCCCAGGGCGTGCCCTAAACACATGTGCACATGAACTGGCAGTAGTGTTCACTGCGTGAGTAGGTCACTGAAAGAGGCTACACTCCCCACCTGCTACGACCATCATCCCTGCCCCAAACCTGGAGCCCTGGAGCTCCCAGTTGGCGTGGGTCGAACACGCCCACAACTTGCTGACCTCAGCAGCCACTGGCCTCTCCCCCTTCGAAATCTCACTCAGCTACCAGCCTCCTCTCCTACCATCCACAGAGGGTAAGCAGTTGGTCCCATTCATCTAGCATCGCCTACGGAGTTTTGGGAGGTGTATTCACCTGTTTGTCCCTGTGTGCAAGTTTCTGATTCCACGAGACGGTAAGTGGTGAGCTGACGTTGGTGCGATTTCTGGGAGCGATTGCCATCAAGACTGGACCACACCATGCTCAGAGCTTTTTGAGCAGTAGCATGTTTGTCACCTTTATTCACTGTAAATACAAGCTCTGTACTCACTGGAAAACCAGCATTTGTGTGCTGCCTGTATATAGGTCAACCTCACTGGTCCTTTCTCTTCTGTTTATTTCATTTATTCAATATGCAGCTGCGAAAAAGACTGCTGTCAAAAGTTTCATTGTACAAAACCAGACACCAGATCTGATCTGATCAGAACGTTTGTGTAAAATGATAGAAAAACTTCACATTGATCTAAGCTGCACATTTTCCCACCTCTCCCTGCAGTGCTGGCCTCTCCATCACATTGATATCTATCTCTACCCTCATGGGGGTATTTAATTATTCACAATTTGTATGCGTATTTCAAAAGCTGTGAATGATAGGTGCCAAACTTTAATTGTGTTCTGCCAAAAACAATTCAAGTATGAGCTGCCTGACTGAATTATGGTTTCGAGTAAAGGGTTATAAGTCAAACCATTTAAACACTGGTTTAAAATGCAGTAAGTTATGATGAAGTCAGTATAGACCTCTGCTTCAACAGATGTACGTGCATTATCTGAGTTGGCTCCCCTGGTGGTGGCTGTGTTCATGCAATGAAGAGCAGCATCTCTTCAAATGTATATCTACGATTAACATCAATCAACCTGTGCTGCATTGATAGATGCTCACCCAGCTACCATCAATCTCAAGCCGAGGCAGAGGCAGATGTGGGCATGTCAAGTAAAGCTCTTTGGTGCACTCACATAATTGCAATGTGGATTGAACAGTAATCAGAACAAATATGATTTGGTCCTCGGTGTAGACTGAGCGGCTAACCCAAGGAGCCCTACACTGTATGTCTCTCAGTTTCAACTGTTATAAGAAAATGAAATGCTTCATCAGTAACAAGTTAAGGCAAAAATATCATTATATTCGTTTAAATTGTTTTTATGCATTTTTTCCTACATTACTAAAATATTTTGGTTTAGTTTTTGTTTCATGCAATTTAAGTAAATAATACCCAAGAATCAAGTTTGAATAATTGTGTCAGATCACCTACCTCCATTGTCTCTGACGCTGAAATTTCTGTGGTGAGTCTCCTCTGGAGCCAGACTAAAGGCAAACTTGTGTCCGGATGATGGCTCATCAGCATCAACAGCACTCACTGTCTGGATCCGCTGCCAGAGACATCAACATTGATCAACACGAGCATCATGGTGGAGTCTGTAAAGCTGCCAAAGTGAGCAGCTTAGATAGATCAGGCTCATTGCAGCCTGTGCTACATCAATATCTCTGTCAGCAACAGCAGTCGAAACAGCACTTTGAAAAAGAACAGGAAACAGTGGTTAGCTTACCGAATCACACACAACAAATAAAACAAATACTTGATACCTCCATTCAGACTTTTGCTGCTGCTTTACACTTTAACAGCAGCACTAATGAACCTTTCCTTCTTTGGAAGTAAGCTGTTTTCTTTTTGGTATTCTAATGTCTTTACTCACCAATTTATATTCAAATGTAGCTACATACCTGCTTCCTGCTTTGAAAATGTAACAGCAGGACACAAAAGCAGAGTATTTAACTTTATGTTAGGAAAACAACAAATGTAGGATCACACCGAGTTTAAGATAAGATAAGATACCTTTATTAGTCCCATGAGTGGGAAATTTCATGTGGAGAATTTCAATGAAGAGAGGAGATTATTCTACAGCTGTAATCTGAGACTTTTCTTGGTTTTGATATGTTTTATCCAACAGTGTACACTTGCCACTGTTGACATCCATTGTAGCTGAAATCAATCTGAGAACAGCTGCTGTTCACTGTGTAGCAGCATGACACCAACGTTCCACAGCTACCTTACAAGTCTGCAGGGTCGGAGAGTTTCATACTCCAAAGATAGATTTTGGGTGGAGAATCGGTGTAAGGCAACAGAAGCAGACACAGCTTCATGCAGTTTTGATGAATTTCAGGCTGAAACCAATTCAAAAACTATGAGTATAACGTGTGCTGTGGGTTTAACATACTGAATGAACATATAACATGTTAATATACTAATAGTGAAATAGAGAGTTCTATTACTTCTGTGTGAAAAGGAGACCTCATTGAATGGAAGGGTCTATATTGTCTTAAACTTCCAGATATACAATGTTCTAGCAGGGCAGATAGATAATTTGTTTCTATAAATGATTCTAAGCTTGTAACTGTTACAAGCTTAGAATCATATGGTCTTATAATGTGGGATAAAAATGCTGTGCATGTAATAATAATTCTGTCAAATAACCTTTAATGCGTGTGTGAACTGCCTGCTCTTTAAACTAAGTGCTATTGTATCAAGACCAAGATATACAAATGCATTTTTAAAAATTCCCCTCTCGCCCCCGCGGGCGGACAATCCTTCAAGCTCGGGTCCTCTACCAGAGGCCTGGGAGCTTGAGGGTCCTGCGCAGTATCTTAGCTGTTCCCAGGACTGCGCTCTTCTGGACAGAGATCTCCGATGTTGTTCCCGGGATCTGCTGGAGCCACTCGCCTAGCTTGGGAGTCACCGCACCTAGTGCTCCGATTACCACGGGGACCACTGTTACCTTCACCCTCCACATCCTCTCGAGCTCTTCTCTGAGCCCTTGGTATTTCTCCAGCTTCTCGTGTTCCTTCTTCCTGATATTGCTGTCATTGGGAACCGCTACATCGATCACTACGGCCGTCTTCTTCTGTTTGTCTACCACCACTATGTCCGGTTGGTTAGCCACCACCATTTTGTCCGTCTGTATCTGGAAGTCCCACAGGATCTTAGCTCGGTCATTCTCCACCACCCTTGGGGGCATCTCCCATTTTGACCTCGGGACTTCCAGGTTATACTCGGCACAGATGTTCCTGTACACTATGCCGGCCACTTGGTTATGGCGTTCCATGTATGCCTTGCCTGCTAGCATCTTGCACCCTGCTGTTATGTGCTGGATTGTCTCTGGGGCATCTTTACACAGCCTGCACCTGGGGTCTTGCCTGGTGTGATAGACCCCAGCCTCTATGGATCTTGTACTCAGAGCTTGTTCTTGTGCTGCCATGATTAGTGCCTCTGTGCTGTCTTTCAGTCCAGCTTTGTCCAGCCACTGGTAGGATTTCTGGATATCAGCCACCTCCTCTATCTGCCGGTGGTACATACCGTGCAGGGGCCTGTCCTTCCATGATGGTTTCTCCTCTTCCTCATCATTCTTTAGTTTCTGCTGCCTGAGGTATTCACTGAGCACTCGGTCAGTTGGGGCCATCTTCCCAATGTATTCTTGGATGTTCGTTGTCTCATCCTGGACTGTGGTGCTGACACTCACCAGTCCCCGGCCCCCTTCCTTCCGCTTAGCGTACAGCCTCAGGGTGCTGGACGTGGGGTGAAACCCTCCATGCATGGTAAGGAGCTTCCTCATCTTGATGTCAGCGGCTTCTATCTCCACCTTTGGCCAGCTTATTATCCCAGCAGGGTACCTGATCATGGGCAGTGTGTAGGTGTTGGTAGCCTGGATCTTGTTCTTACCGTTCAGCTGACTCCTCAGGACCTGCCTGACCCTCTGCAGGTCAGGCAGGTCCTGAGGAGTCAGCTGAGAGATGTGTGTATTTATGTGTGTATTTTTCTTTAACTAGTCTTATTTTGTTAAATGAGAAATACTAGCAGAGAGATTAAAGGCTTTCATACAGATTAATGGTTGTACTTGGTGGCTGCAGCTTTCCTAGCGACCTCCTGGTGGTTCCCGTTTGCCTGTGGGATTCCCAGGTACTTGTAGCTGTCCTCGATGTCTGCACTGTTGCCTTTGGTAGTTCGATCCCCTCAGTTCTGACTACCTTTCCTCTCTTCGTTACCATCTGACTATACTTCTCCAATCTGAATGACATTCCAATGTCCTTGCTGTAGATCAGTGAATCGATGTCTCTTTCACTTGTTAGATAAGCTGGTTAGTCTCGGTGCTGCATTCACATCATCTAGTAGGTTCTCAGAGGGTACTTCACTCAGGATCATGGCCAAGCTTGAAACATGGATCCTCCGTAGCCAGTTACCAAGACCATCTTTCAGTTCCGCTGACACCAACGATCCTTCTCCCATCACACTTGGGACTGGGGCATACAGACGCCCTACTGGGGAGTGGAACCCACGACTCCCAAAGGCGTGTAGTCTTATTGCATAAAGCTATATACACACACGTGTGTACCCATATGTGTTGGTCCTGGGTAACTGCTGTTGATTCACAGGTGCAGTTAGTTATTGTGACTACATGTAGGTATTTTGTTTAACTAGTCTTATTTTCTTGAATGAGAATTACTAGCTGAGAGATTAAAGGGTTTACTACAGATTAGTGGCAGTACTGCAAACATGCACAAGTGCAACAAATACAGCAAAGAGTCTGAGGGAAGCACTGGAGGATCTGTGTGGAACAAAAATCAATGATTAACACTGATGGGCAGATGAATAGGCTGAGAGATTAAAGGACGAAAATATGGCAGAACCCCAGAGTTGTAAGAGGACCAGCGGCAGCAAAATCTGGAGGATTTTAGTTGCTCGGATGCTCTTAACTGATGAGCTCATTTGCAGACTTGTAGGAGTAAATCCTGCATCTTCTGTATGTGAGGCTGAATCTCAGGCGGCTCCTGTAGCCAGCCAAGCTGTTTGCTTGTACTCATGTACTAGCGTTAGGCAGTCTTTACCAAAGTGGGTTAAAATGACCTCCCAGCCCATTGTTCCTTAGTGGTGCTGGTTTCAGTCATTATACAAATGTCCTGTTTATAAGGTTGAAACCTGCAGTCAGCTGAGACTGAAGACGTCACTTCAATGAGTCACAAAACATTTCTTCCACTAAAAACGTCCAGATGAACAGAATCAACTTTGTGGGAGACTTGGATCTAGATTTGTTGTGTTATACTTAGAGTGTGTGTGTGTGTGTGTGTGTGTGTGTGTGTGTGTGTGTGTGTGTGTGTGTGTGTGTGTGTGTGTGTGTGTGTGGGCACATACAGATTTGTGACCCTGTTAACTCTTGTGTGATGTTAGATGTACAATATGGCACATGAGCTTAAAGAAGAATCCTAGTGCTCAGTTTCTCAGCTGCAGAAATGTGCACACGCCTTACGTGCACTTTTAAGCTATCACACTTTAATCACTAATACATTTGATACACACACTGTGTGATAAATCATGTTGAGTGTAGTAGTACAGTTACATCTAGTGCTGCATAAAACATTCAATTTCATTGTTTTTGTTGAGAAAACACACTAAGTCTATACCAAATGCTAAAGTTAGTGTGGTGGTTGGGGACACCAGTGCTTCCAAACAAGTTATTACTTATAATTATCCATGTTTACTGATCAAACCCAGTGAAATGTTGCTGTCATAATAAAAGCTGACTTCATGCAATCACAGTGCTCTTCTGTTTTATGCTAAAAGGGGATTATGTGCTCAGTCTAGCCTTTCTGGAACTTTTCATGTCCTGCAATTTACTCATAAAAGCCCATCACTACACATAAGTACAGTGCCACCTGCTCTGGGCAGACTAGCACAACCTCTCAGAGGTTTGGGAGGCCGGTCCACACTGAGCTAGTGTCATACAACATGCCTGTTATGAGGATCATGTCTGTGTGTTGCACTCATGGTTATGTGTTTATCAGCAGCCTACAGGACCGACTCCAGAATTTGCCATTTTTCATAAACAGCTGATAAATCTGGACAGTGTAAACACTCATCACATTTCTGTTACCATCCAAGGGCACGCTAAGGATCCGCTGCCTCACTTTAACTGGCAGCATGAACTGGGCCTAAATAATTATTTCCTGTCACTTGCAGCTGAGACATCTGATATTGCTGAACATTGCTGACCGACACATCATTCTGATTATGAGGCAGACTGTAAACAAGCCCACCGTCTGATCTCAGTCGTACTGAGAGGTCAACATGAAAATGACTGTCTGTGAAATGTTCATCATTTAAACAGAAAACATGTGAAACATGTGAAAGGAGGTGTGTCTGTGATTTTTCCACCCAGTCAGTTATTAAAACCTGTCACGATCTGAATGTGTATTTTTCTGTCACTTGCTTTCAGAGTAGAAACTTTAGTGACTTAAATTTTATTCCACAACCAGCATTTATTTTTTGTGCTCACATTCAAGGACCTTTGAAGAAGCTTACTCGATAGCTACAAGCACACAGTGTGCATGCAGTGATTGTTACGAGGACTGACAAATGAAAACTGCTTAAACGTTACGCCCCAATCAATCCCTTCAACACAAGCCGAATATCAGCCCTACAATAGGACATAACTATGGAGCCAGAGCCTATTTTAGTGCTTGTACCTGATTGTTGTGTTTATTTCAAATCTAATACATGTTTCCTTTCAGTGCAGCCCTGCTGGGTCACCTGAGGTAACAACTAGCAGCTTTTCTACATCTCCTCTGCCGTCAGGTTAATCAGAGAATGTCTCTGCGTTTAAAGCAGGTTGTAATGAAATAGCTGACTTGTTGTCATTGTCTGCTCTTCTCTTGTGCGTTTGCTTCCTGGTCTGTTGTTAACAATGAAAACAGTGTGAAATAGTCAGATGGCTGAGTGAAAAGACACCTGTGTGCACACAGGGGCATCTTTGCTGCTGTGATCATCACACTGACAACAATCACTCAAGCTCCACTACTAGCAGCTAACATGAGCCAAGACAGCGCCCCATCTCAGTCTTTGTTCAAATACAACCACAGACTGTGTACAAAAGACTGAGGCAAAGATGAAGAAGTGACTGACGCCTCTGTTCTGGAGAGCAGGGGGAAAACCACCCTTCGATTTATGGCTTTAGTGAAGACTTCCTGATGAAACCAGTCACTCAGTCACCGTCAGGGACCCTGTGCCTACCCGCTCGGCTCAGTATGGCTACATGTGTTTGTTTTGCTTTTGTTCCTGCTCTCTCCCTCCCTCTCTTTCCCTCCTCCCTCTGCCTGGGCAGAGCTCACCCGTGGGCTCCTGCCCTTGGCCCACGCACCTGGTCGCAATCACACACCTGTGGCTCATCACCCGACAGTGTTCCAGTCCCTTTATAAGATGGCAGCTCTGTGTTTCTCGTCGCTGGACCGTTGCAGACTCTCGTCAGTGTAAACCCAGCTCAGTTTACTCCTGTGTTTTCCCAGAGATCTTCCCTTCGTGTTTCTGTGAACAGATTCCCTGGACCGACCCCTGTGTTACCTGAGCGATTGAGTGTGTGAGGTTTGGAGTGAGCTATCGTGTTTTCTGTGGAGTATGAGGAGGAGCGTGAGGCGTGGAGCATGGACGGAGTGTGTGTGGACTTCCAGCGTCTTTCCCCCCGTTCATGTGTGGATCCCCGGAGCCCGTCATTCCCCCACTTTGTAAATAGATCACCTGGTGTTGCTGTGAATAAAGATTCTTGTGTTCTCAATTCAGAGCCTGTGCATGAGTCCGTTCAGTCCCGTTGTGACAGTCACTAGTCTCAGGTTTGTAGCCGTTCTTTGTTTCACAGTCAGATTACAACACACTAACCAATGGGTGCCATCATTATAGCAACATCTGTTTTATATAAAAATTAGGCAGAGCTGTAAGGTGTCATTTTGGATGCTCAGTCACTAGTCTTTATACAGCTCTGGGACCGCTCTGCTCTAATCAGGCTTTGAAGTCAGTAAGATGCCACCAGAGCACACAGTGAGCTAACACATGAAGTATGCGAGTACCTGGCCAGCCTTGGTTTTCTCACAGACAAAGGTTTCGTACACAGTGGCAAACATGGGAGCATTGTCATTGATGTCCAGCAGACGGATGTAGACACTGACGCTGCTGCTCTGACGGGGATTATCTGGAGGCACAGAAAGCACAAAAACATCTGTCACTTTGGAGTTTTGAAACTTTTCCAGTACTTTCACAACCGTCTGTATGTGACAGCTTCACCAAGCTTATATTCAAAGTAAACTTTATTGTCATCTCTGCTGTATCCAGTGCAGCATATAGAGAGAAGGTGAACATTTGATCAAAACTAAAGAAAAACATGAAGAGGATTTTAAAAGTCCTCCCATGGTCAGAAGTGAGACTCTGTAAGACATCATCTATAACAGACACTGAACGGGGCAGGTGGGCGATATTTCTACACTTGTGTCTTCAGAGAGAATACACTTAAAACAATCTCACAGTTGGGACTGCAGTCACTAAGAACACCACTGGTATGTTTTCAGTTTTATTTTTTTTGTCATATGCAAGTTAGCACAGGGTCAACATTGCAATGAAATGTGTTTGACGAGCAGCAGTCACTCAGCAGCATGATACAGTAGGAGAAAATACAATAAAATATAATAAAATAAAATAAAATAATAGAAAAATAGTAAGGAGCAAAATATTAGAGACGTGGTAAAAGAGAAAAGATGACTAAATATATATGTATATATAAATATAAATATATGTACACTAGTGATTAAATGAGAAAATCTTGAAAAGAAATATGACGGGAGGGCAGATGGGACATTGCACAGGAATGAGCAGCGGAAAATTACAGTATTGCACTTTTTAAATATAAATATCAATGACAATAAAGTGGAGTGACCAGTGCAGATTAAACAGAGTACTTGTGAAGCTGCAGGTAGCTTCTGAGTGCTGTGTTGTGTGTGTTTAAGTGTTGTGCTTGAGGTGTCGTACGGTGGTAAAAACAAAACTGTTTTTCTTGTTCAAAGTCTTGTAGTCCGAGCAGACAGAACCTGTAACGTCTGCCAGACGGTAACAAGGAGAACAGCTGATGTGCTGGGTGGCTGTGGTCCTTGATGATGCTGTGTGCTTTACGGAGGCTATGTTATAATGTCTTATAATATGTAGCTGCCATCGCCAGTGTGTGAATGTGTGTGTTAATGGGTGAATGACTGAATGTAGTGTGAAGCGCTTTGGGGTCCTTAGGGACTAGAAAAGCGCTATACAAATGCAGGCCATTTTATAATAGTACCCGCAAGGTCCCCCTGTTCAAGATGTCACATATACAGGCATGGGAGCTGGTAAATGGACTGGTTCGGGCAAGGGCAACACATTTCTTTGAGTTCTAAAAAGGAGAAAGCTTTGGATACGAAAAGAGATTTTTAAAAATGGCCAGATTTGTGATCAGTGTTTTAAAAAATATTTGGGAGGAACCAATGAAAAAGCTACATTTTGACATTGAAGCCATCTTGAATAACAGAACAACCTTTAAATACTCACACCCTCACATCACTTCAATAAAGATAATCATGTGGCAACTGCTGATTAGACTAAATGTTGTTGATGTTGTCAATGTTTTTTCATAAAATGCAATCTGTCCAATTTGCAGATAGATTTAAGAAAACAGAGCTTGTATTAAACTTGCCATTGAACATCTAAATGATTCAGAGAAGGTTTAGGAATAAGTGTTGTGTTGCTCTTCTACTAATGCCACAGGATAGAGGGACCAACGGACAGTCCCATGTACCATAAATCTGCAATGAGAACCTCCTTCCCTCAGCCACAGTGCTGAAGGCAGGTCATGGATGGGTCTTCCAGCATGACAACGGCTCAAAATATAGAACCAAGACAAATGAGTGGCTAACATTAAGGTTATGGGGGGGCCTGGCCAGTCTCCAAACCTCAATCTTATGGAAAATGCTAAGCAGCAGCCAAGCAACATAAAGTATTAAGAGAGTGTAAAGTGGAGTGAGCCAAAACCCCTCCTGACATGTGTGCAGGCCAACTACATAAAATATCTTACCGCTGGGCTTTTCAGCAACGCTTTCTCCACCAGGTACTAAGTCATACTTTGTTTGGGCATCGAATATTTATTTCACCCAATGACATGCAATTCATCTTTCAGTGTTTTGTAATGTGTAATATGTTTTTTCTAGATATTATCTCTCTCCATTAAAATGAGAGCAACATGTTCATTTATTTGTAAATGTGCAAACTTTGTGGTTTAACTTCCAATCAGCCCATTCAGTGTGCTATACTCCGGGGTCTGATTCTTGTTGTTGAACCCCTCCATGGCAGACTGTGCTCTACTGCCTCTCCTCTAACAGTTTTACTCTTTATCAATATATCACATGAGCAGTGCAGACAGTCCCAGACCCTGCTGGACTTACTCAGCTCTGTGGCAACAACTGAAATATTATGCCATGCAGTCGTCTCTCTGTCCAGGCTTTTGAGCAGGAACACAGATCCATTCATCGGATAGACGTTGAAGAGGTGGCCCCTGTCAGTGCGGCGGTCGATGGAGTAACTAACAAGTGAGACAGAGAGAAGGTGAGAAAACGTTAAGTTGAGTCAGGTCACGTTAAGTTGGGATGACCTATAGCCTCCTCCTCTCTGCGCCGCCCTGTCAAGAAGCCAGCGCAGCAGGGAGCATAATGGATCAATCTCTGACGGAGGGAACCAGGTAAAAAGTGTCACACTGTGGAGATGTGCTAAAATTCAAAATCTTAAAGCAACTAAAGGTACAATAAACATTGCATTAGTCTGTGCCTGAACTGCTGCAAAAGCTTATTTTGCTCCCACAGCAGTGTTAATATGCTGCTGTACCAGTAGCCCGAACCTGCTGTTTATACGCTGTATTACTTACAAATGTTTCTCCGGCAGTCTCTGAACTTCTGGCGGTGAATAACAAATACTGGTTGCCATAGAAACAGGAACTCAAGGAACCCCCCCGACCGGTGGTTAACTACCTCAGTGGCCTCGCTCCTTGATGGGCGAGTCTTTCCTCTAGTCCCTGGACTCTGCTTCCCACACTGAAGGTGTGTCAGTGGGGTTAAGTCTTTTATCCACTGCCTGACTATATCCTCAGCTGAAGTCACCAGCAGCCCACTTCCACTGTACACTGTGTCACTGGAGCACTGCTTTCCGCTCATCAGTCTCCTGACGATTTGCTAAAAATATTTCAAGGCTATCTAAAATTCTTGTTCCACAGTCTGACTGAACTCTTCCCACACCTGGGTTTTTGTTTCGGGTACCGCCCAAGTCGGGTTGACCTGTAGGTACCTATCAGCTGCCTCCGAAGTCCCACAAGCTAACCAAGCCCAATGACTCCTCCTTCAGCTTGACGGCTCTCTTCACCTCTGTTGTCCTGTGATGTCTGGCTTGGGGATTACCACCATGACAGGCACAGTCCCCATTCAGAGTCCTCAGCCTCCCTCAGGTGCTGTCAAAGGCCTGCCAGACTTTCCCAGCACACCCTCACTTTATGTTTGCGTGTGCCGGGTCTGTCCAGAATCTTCCCCCTTCCCCTGATCCAACTCACCACCAAGTGGTGATCAGTTGACAGCTCAGGCACTCTCTTTACTCAGCTGTCCATAATTCATGGCCCCAGATCTGATGATACGATTATAAATTTGATCATTGATCTGTATTCTCGTACATGCTGTCGCTTTGTACACACTGTGGTTTGCCCACTCTTGTCTGTCGCCTCTCACTGTGGGCAACTTCATACTGGAACAGAGTCTGGTTCCAGAGACCAAGCCATGTGTTGAGGTGTGTCCGACTATATCTAGCCATTATCTCTCGAACTCAGACACTACCCAGCATTGATAGATGGGAATCGGGCAGCACTGGCTGCCACCCAAACCCTATAGATAAAATAAGACCAAGGGACCAGTGTACCCTACCCTGGGATAGGGTTACCCCACCCTGGAGGAGGAAGCTGGAGAGGGACAATGTCTGGTAGCTGGGTCTTAATGCCAGAAGCCTACAGAAGGAGCAACATGAGCCCTCCTGTAGACCACTGCTTGCAGGAGGCATCGTGGGAGTTAGTTGTATTTTGTGTGTGTCAAAAAGATAACTTTCTAACGTCGTAAAACGTTCCGGGTGGTTGTTTAAGTGTTTAAGTTCTGGTAGCTGTGCAGCGTAAATGAAAGGGAGGAATGGGATCTCTAAATTCACTCGCTGGGCCCACGTCCTCATTTGAGGTTTGACAGCATTTTAGTAGGTAAAGGTGAAGCTTGGACATGAATTGAGCTGCAGTTTGGGGAAGGCCTTGAAGGGGACTGGCGACGGCTCCCGGGCCTGGAAGATCCTCATGCACTAAATAGAAATGAAGAAGTTAAAGAATTGAGAACAAGGAGGGAGGGGCACGTAAAGGAGAATGAACAGCTTGCAGAACTGGAGGAACCTATATAGATGACAACAGGAAGGAGCGTGTTTGGAGGCGTGGTCCTGCTCCTGAAATTCTGATACATAATCTCCAAAACAAATAAATCAGGCTCTTCAGAAGCACATATCACATGCTGGAGACCAGCTTATGGACTTTATAGTCTGTACGACTGTTTTGCCAGGAATACATAAAGGTATTACAGAAAGTTTATATTTAGAAATGTAATTGACTGAATTTGACTTTGCTTAGATAGCAGGTGCTTGCATAGATGCAGTAGTTTAGCCGCACTTCACACAGCCGGAACATGGTTTACTTCTTCATCTTAAAGTAATAAATTGTTATCATTTGTAGGTAGTACTTCACCTGTCTTCTAGTGTCGAAATAACTTGGACTGGATTTTCTGTTCTAGCCGATCGACAGAGACTGCTGCCTGCTCCACTCTCTGCAGTTCAGGGGTTGGCAACCCTGGGCACACGCGCCACAGCTGAGACGCGAAGGGTTAACTGATGGCACGGCCATAGCTGGCCATCGGGCATACTGGGATGGTGAATTGGCCAGATGCTGGCAGATGTGTAAAAATAACTCAGTTATTTAAGATAAGATAAGATAAGATAGAACTTTATTAATCCCTCGGGTGGGTTCCTCTGGGAAATTCGATTTCCAAAAAAAGCACAGCAACGACCGAAGTTACAGTTACAGAATTGTTATATATACACACACACACACACACACACACATACACATATATATAAATACAGAAACAAAT